ACTGATTTTGATTCAGAAGGTTGGTATACAGTGATACTAGTACAAAAGTAACGAAAAATATGAAAACAACTATTAATTACTTCAGTGTATGGACACTTTTTCACAGGAAAAGCTGTTCAAGTGTCCTAAAGAGAAACAGTTTGTTACAGGCTTGTAGCTCAGCCTAGGCTGAGGTATTTCTAAAATGCCATCAGTCATACATTGTCAGTCAGCAACAGAAATGTCATTAAGATGACTGTAAAGTCATTCACTCATCAGCCTGTCTTTTTATTTGGTTTCTGAAGCTCAGCAAAGAGGAGTATTAAAAATATCTATGTGGGAAAAGCTCATTCCCATATGGGAGGAAAAAAATACGTTCTTGACTGCATTTAGAATTTTTTAAGTGTATGCCTCTTTGGGAGGTGGTATAATACTAACAGATATGATTTGCTTAGTGAATGATGACGTTCTCAGAGCAACACTAGTTATGCTGATAGAAGCTCTATGGAGACTGGCAAACAGCACTGCCATTTGCAGCCCTAAAACTGGGGTGCTTCTGTGTATTATGGCATTGCAGTTGGTTAGGTTACCCTTTTAAATGGCTGAGTTTGTGCAGACCCAGGCTCCGTGGTCTGTTATAGCCTGCATGATGCAGAAGATGTGCATAAAAGATCTTGAACTAAACTAAAACAAAACAAAAAAACCTTCTACCAACAAAAAATAATGTAGATCAATAGAAAAGTCTAGGTAGATCAAATGAGGTCAACATTGCATGCTTGAGGTTAAATAGTTATATGCAAACTTCTGGTATTTTGCCTCCAGAGAGAGGCCAGAGATGGGAATGGAGGAAGAAGATTGTGAGTATTTAATATTTAGAAACTCAACGTTCCTGTGAAAAGCAAAGGTCACTCCCTTTCCTGCTATTTCCTAGAGTAACTAGCAGAATCATAAATAGGCTGAGACTCTTTATGGTTTGTAGAGGATATTGAGTCTTTATGCGCAGTGCCACAAGTCTGACTTCTCTGAGCCATTTTGCTTCTTGTCAGCACAGTCACATTGCCAGTGCTAATCCCAGTCCTAAAAATGCATATTTACAATTGATTTCCTGAAGTGTCAAGGGCAGTGGAACAGCTCTAGACTAAATTCATGGGTTTGGGGTGAGGAACTAGCTTAGAACTGAGCAGTGCATTTGCAGGGAAGAGAGGAGTGCAATGGCACAGCTGCCAGGCCTGTGGTGTGGGTGAATGGATGTGGTTTTGAACGTTTGGAACAAGTTGGTTGAGTGCTCTTTCAAAGCAAGAGCTGTCAGGGTTGTATCACTAAACTGCAGACCCTATGAGATTTTCCTTGTCTGATTCTGCATTTTTACCACAGGTTGTATGTTCAAAAGCCTTCCATACTGACCTATTTCTGCTCTTATTAAAGATCATACGAAAAATTTGACTGGCTTAAATGAAAACAGTCAAGCTCTTAGGAGCGTTGCAAATTGCACACAGGCCATTGGGTGAGATTTTTGGATATCCAGCAGGTGGAGCAACATTCCCACTGGTTAGGGGCTTGTGAGTATTTAATATTAAGTCATGTTCTGCCGCTGCAAGTGTGTTCTCTCTTGCAGGACAGTCACATACTGCATTTTCTTTGCTTTTGCAGTCTTCTGATGCTGTGTTGTGTCAGCTAAAAATCTTTACATTCAGTGGAGAGGAAACTACACTGCATGAACTATGATGGACATGTTGTTAGTGTTTTGTGTGCTATGGCAGAGCATATGGTACTTCCCAGAAAAACTAGATAAAGTTTGGAAACAAGTGAAAAAGAAAAGTGGGTGGTCTGGGGCCAGGGGATGTTGTTTGTTTTGGTGGGTTGTTTATTAGGAGGAATCTCCAGCTGTGCCCATCTTGTCCCTAAAACTGTCAGCAATATACAAGGAAGCTAGTCCTCAGTGGGCTAAACAATGACTTCTTCACTTTTTGTAAGCCTTTTCAAGCTGAGTTACTCCCATCAAAGTTATGTAATGGAAAAACAGTGGATATATTACATAATTTAGTCTGTGGCCCCAGTAGATCATTTGCTCAGTCTAAGACTGGTGGCATCACCTTCTGTCCTTCTGGTGACAGTAGAGTTAGAAATCTCTATGGGGGAGACTGGAAGAATCTGTCTCAAAAGAAAAAAAAATACTGTTATATTAAAAAAAAGGTTTGGATCAGAGTGTTATCTAAGGTGGCTTACACAGACTTAATAAGCATTTTAAAGATTACAAGATTTATTCTAATATCATTGTGTAAATATTACAATGAAGTCTTCTGTAAGCAGATACTGATCTTTTTGCACAATGGCATTTTCTCACATAGTTGTTAGGGCTGAATGAAGCTTCTCATCCCTTTCTGTTCCTGATGAGTCTGCTGTGCCCCCTGTGATCTGGAAGAGCTAACTTTTCTGATATTCCACAACAGCAGTTGAAAATGTGTTCGTAACTAATCTTGGTAGCAAGGCTGGTGAACCAGCAGTCCCAAAGTGGCTGGATGAAAAGGAAGTTGCCCTCAATCAGTATTATGGCCAGAGTCTTTATATTAACAAGCTTTCACCAGACATGTTGTGATGAACCTGACTCTCCCCCTAAATTCTTTTAGTCAATAAAAATGTTCTCTCAGACTGTAAAAATCCTGTTTTTATTACTTGATTTGTAGCATAAGGAACTTCCCCAAACCTAAATTGAAAGCCCAGAGCCTCGCAACAAAATGGGTGCACATATTGTTTAAAATAAGCATGACACCTAGATTTTGTTGTTTAGAAGAAGTAGCTTTAGCTTTGCTGAAAAGTGAAATCGGCTTGGTGCAGACACCTGCATGGAAAACTTCAGCCTAAACAGATGAAATTTGACAGCTTGAAACTTGAGTCTTTAAGTGGAAAAAGTTAGGCAATCATTCACAAGGGTGTAATTCTGCCATGAAAGCAGAGGTATCTGAGAGGAGGCACACAAAGTTTCATTAAGAACAAAATCCTATTCTGTTGATGTTAGTGAGAAAATTCCTGTCAACTATCAAGATGGGATTTTGATACATTTTACACAATAAATATTCACAGTAGTTCATAAGAAACACTACTGGGGAGCAGTAAAGCCAAGGCATTTGGCTTTGTGCTTGTGGAGATCAAAGTACAAAGGTATAAGATGATTTGCTGTTAAAGTCATTTACTAGTAATCTTTTATCTATCCTACTGTGCAGAGGATTGATTTGCATTGCCTAATGGAATAGAGTATGCACTATATATCAGCTGTTAGTGAAAAAGCCAGTCCCATCCCAGCCAAAACTATGACAGGTCCTCAGTGTGGCCTTTGATCTGTGCCAGCAAGTGCTCTTGATCAATTCAGTACAGGTGATAGTATGTGCCAGGGGTGATTCCTAGAGAGCAGGTTACAATGGAGCCACCCTGCTTTGGAGGAATTGTCTTCACTGCTAGAGAGTGGTCTTTGTACTTAATTTATACACTGGGGAATATATAGTTTCTGTGTAAAGTTGGCCTATTTTAGGATCAGACAACGTCTCAGAGATTAATTGCATGCACTGCATAGAGTTTTTTTCTACAGTCTCTTGCTTCCAGATATGTTACTTCTTTTTGACGGCCTATGCTAATATAAAGATGCTGGAGGGTGCTTTGGTTGTTTTTGTATTTCTGCTTTTATTACTTCATGGGACTTTTGTGGCATGTTTCTCTGTGATTTCTTTAGAGCAATATTGAACTGTTTTGAGGCAGGTATTGCACACTAGCAATGAGGATTATCTTTTACACTAGTATATACTAGTGATCTAGGTGTGGGTTTTTTCCTCTGGAATGCCTGTGTAGTTGTTGGGTTTTTGTATTAGTAAAACCCCTACATCTTTTCCTGCACAACAGGTGAAACCTGTGTGGAAAATTCCAGTTGTCTCTCAGTCCATTACATACCCAGTTCTTGAGATGTATGTCACACAGATTTGGATGATAATCAAAGGGCCTCTGTACAGAGACCCAGAGCCAGTCCTTTGAAGTGGAGGACAGAGTGCAAATTATAGCTGCTTTCATTCAAGTTGTCTTTGTGTAATTTTGCCTTGGGGATAACACTAGTTTTGTCTGTGCTACTGAGAGTGCACATTTTTGGTCTGTTCTGTAGCTGACTGTGCTTCCTGTCACCCATGGAGCCCAAATATATATATTGCATACACATGGGGACCTCAGTAAGCTTGGAATAAGTGTCTGACTTGCCTTCTGTATGGTAGGAGCTTCCTTCTACGTTTCTATCCCAGTTTTTCTCACTTTTTTCATTTCCTACAACGGGGGGACTGCCACAGCCTAGGGGCCATGTTAGGTTGGTGGTACCATCATTTCAGTCATAGTGTATGAAAGAGAAAAGATGCGTTGCTGCTTTGAAACACTTGAAAAACTGCCACTATGAGTAGCATGCAATTTTATTACTAATATGGGTGACCCGAGAAGACTTCAGTTGCTGCACCCCAGAATTCATTATGGTAGTACATGACTATTGTCAGATGTTGCACTTGAAATGGAACTAAAGTCCATTAATGCAAGGCATTTTTCTGAATCCAGAATTAGGCAAGTAAGACCAAGTTTAGTACCCTGTTGATCAAAATAGTTAAGAAGGTGACTCAGAGAACATATAGTAAAAGCAAACTTAAACTGCTGAAGTATAAAGAAAGAAAATCACTCCAAAGTTATTTGAATTTGAAATATGCTCCTGTGTTTAAGGTAATCTGTGGCATACAGGTCTGTGTAGAGACTAATTTTTTTCCTTTCCGCTAGATATTATTTATGAAATTGTTGTTTGGCCATTAACCTGCTCTTTTGGTATTAAATATTATGTTCAAATAAATACAGGTAAATCTGATCAGGACATTACCTGAAATTCAAAAAGTATTCAGGACTCAGCATTATCAAACCTCTGCATCAAAATGATTGCCAGATTGCATCATTGCTTAAAAGCTTTTTAACATTGTCACTATTTATCTTTTCTTCTGTCTTTCTTTTTTGAGGTTGGAGATGAGATAGTTCGTATAAACGGATATTCCATTTCCTCATGCACACATGAAGAAGTCATAAACCTCATTCGTACAAAGAAAATAGTGTCCATAAAAGTAAGACGTAAGTAACATCAAAAATCACCTATGTCACTAAAGATCACTGTTAATAGATTGCTAGTGATCTGTAGAAAGTGTTACTTAGCAGAATATTTTTCTTTTTCAGATGTTGGCATGATACCTGTCAAAAGGTAATGGTATTCAATTTGAAAAGGAATTGTTATTCATTTTCACATAGCCTCTTCAATATCCAAAAAATCTCTGTGTTTATCTGTATGTTTGAAAAGGTCTGAATAGGCATCTCCATAGCTGTTAAAAATGGCACGTCCTTTCTGACATACAGGCAGATGTCTTGTTTGATGAATCTGACATTTTATACCGGTGCCCTGCTTAAGTGAACCAATTTTTATTTCCTCATCTTTCATGGATATTATCTGGAAATTTCATTATCAATGCAGCTAGTTTAACAGAGAGCTCCACTGCTTCTCTGTGGGCATAACATTTGGGGATTGCTTCAAAGCTTAGAAAAAATTCAAGTTATTGTCCTTCCAATTTTTGTTGACATCTTGAAACTTTAGGTGGAATGTTTGAGAAATGTTAATGATGGGAGGTATGTCTCTGCATAGAGACTTAAATAAGCTGTTCAAGTTGTCATGATTATTTTCATAGGTTTTCTTAGTTTCCCAAAAGTGTTTCATTTGAGGAGGTTTTCTCAATTTTATATTTGACTGGCTTTACTAGTCTAAATAACTGTATGCTTGTTTGATGTTCTGTTTATATTGCTGAAAAATGAACCAGTTGTTTTGAATGGTATCTAAAGGAACTTGTGAATGCAAAATAGGAGGCCCCATTCCAAAGTAGTTTATTGAAATACCTTCACATTTATTTTGTCACTATTATTTTTAATTACTTTTTTCCTTCCAGTTCAGCAGATGAACCCCTTAAATGGCAATATGTGGACCAATTTGTGTCAGAGTCTGTGGTAAGAGATCAATGTTTTATTAGCCTGTCTTCTGGGTAAATCTCTAATGGTTCTGAAGCACTTTCTCCACAGAGCTTATCACAGAAGTTACTGTGTGCATTTGTATGATGCCGTATTTTGTTACAAGTGGTCTGTGGTATCTTTTGTGGTATGAAATGATTCTAGGATCATTAGATAAGGAAAGGTAATGATGCAAATATAATATCTTTTACTTAATATTGGTACTTTGTTTTGCCTGAGCTTATCAACTTACCAGGCTATATAAATCTTTACCAGAGTATTTGGCCTATCTTAGCTATGTTAGTGGAGGAATGACAGGTATGAATGCAAGTGACTTTGATGGGTTGCAGCAACAAAAAGAGATGCCACAATTACCATTCTTTTGCTTTCAGGAAGAAAGACTTTTTTAAACAGGGAGCACTATCATGTGTTTTTCCAGCTCTTGTGTCAGGGAACACCTAAATTATCATTTCGCCATATCACTTTCCCCTAATTTTCTTTCACCCTTTTCTGAAGACAAAGTTTGACTACTTAAACCATTTTCTCCAAATAGAAAGATAAGTTCAGTCTTTCGCCTCAGCCACGCAGCTCCACTGAAATGACTGTGCTTCACATTCATCTCCAGTAGTGCCTCGGAGCCCTTATCTTGATACTGGCAGGATTTGATCCTGGCTTCATGGGGTTTTATAGTAGTCTTGATACAGCTTCAACACAGAGTAATGTCTGCAGCACCTTTTATTCCCCCTAACAGGAAGGAAAGGGCAGCGTTGCTGGTCTTGCTTCTTCTGGAGGAAGAGACAATAAAGAGAAGAAAGTTTTCATTAGCTTGATTGGTACAAAAGGCATGGGATGCAGGTGGGTACATATTTCTTATTTAATGTCACCAGGATAGTTGCTTGAGGGAAGTTGTTGGGCGCCAAAAAGCATCATTGTGGTTTATGTCCAGCCAGCAACTAGGACTGCTAAGCCCTTCTCTCACTCTCCCCATTTGGAATGGGGGAGAGAATTGGAAGAGTAAAATTGGGAAAGAACTCATGGGGTTGAGATAAAGACAGTTCACTAAGTAAAGCAACGCACGCAAGCAAAGCAAAGCAAGGAATTTGTCCACTATTTCCCACTGGCAGGCAGGTGTTCAGTTTCTCCAGGAAAGCTGGGCTCTATCATGCATAGCAGTTACTTGGGAAGAGAAATGCCATCACTCTGAATGTTCATTCCCTTTCTCTTCTTCCCCAAACTTTACACACTGAGCATGGTGTCACATGGCATGGAATATTCCTTTGGTCAGTTGAGGTCAGCTGTCCTGGCTGTGTGTCGTCCCAGCTTTTTGTGCACTCCCAACCTACTCATTGGTGGGGCAGTATGAGCTGCACAGAAGGCCTTAACTGCTTAGCAATAACCAAAAGCTTTAGTGTGCTGTCAACAGTATTCTCATCCCAAACCCAAAACATAGCACTATACCAGCTGCTAGGAAGAAAGTCATCTCCATCCTAGCTGAAACCACAACAGAAACAAATTAGGGGAAAACAACTAAGATTCTTCATTGTATTACACTGTATTATTCTATATATATTATCCTATAAATGTTTGGGTTTTATATTACACCAGTATTTCCAGTGGTCCAACACAAAAGCCAGGCATTTTCATCAGCAATGTTAAGCCGGATTCTCTTTCAGCAGAGGTGGGCTTAGAGGTAAGTATACCACCTTCTAAGGTAGGTACCACAAGGAAATCATGTTTGGTATTTTCTGGTTTTCTGGATCGCTGTAAAGTCACTAGATGTGTGCTGCTTTTTTTTTTTTTTTTTTTTTTCATTTCAAATGAAGCAAGTTTCCTAAACTCAAACAGTGGCAGTAAGAAATGCTAATATACGAGGATGTGCAGGCCTGGCCACTTTCTGGTCTGTTCCCCTTGTACTCTGCCAGTACCTAAGATTATTGTATTAAAAAGGTAGAGGCTATATCTTTTTCTGGGTTTATTTAATATATGTACTGATTTAGCATCTATAATAAAATTTGGATTAACTCCATTAGGTTGGTGATCAAATTGTTGAGGTGAATGGAGTGGACTTCTCTAATGTGGATCATAAAGAGGTAAGATCAAATCTTCCTAATTTCCCAAATACATAGTTGTCAGCTTATTAAGCATCTGTCCAACTTTCCTGGCTGCAAAAAATATGTTTTGATGTCGGGCTACTTAGCCAAAGAGGTTGTGTATTGAACATAGGAGTTTGGACATTTGAATACCTACCACCCTGTTTAGTTCAGGCAGGTCTTCTGGAAATTCCAGTCTTGAGAACCAGCATCTTTCATTGTGTATATACAGGCCTTTTGTCACTTAATTCAGACTGATTTTTGTGTTCTTTACTTTGCAGGCTGTCAGAGTGCTCAAAAGTAGTCGTACTTTGACTATCTCTGTGGTAGCAGGCGCTGTAAGTAGTGTATTTATAAAAGCAGAATATCTAAGAAAATTACTATGTGGACAAATAAATAGTAAAAATAAATAGATAAGAAGTGAAACTGTGTTTCGTTATAATGTCTATGCCATTGAATTCCATCAAACCAGGACAGTGTTGAGTACCTTTGCATTAATAACTCTCCACAGTCTTCTCAAGTAAAACAGTTTCATGACTCTGGGCCAGTGCAAAACCATTCCCTTGACAAGCAATGGAAATTGACTTTATCATAATGGTTTTTTTATGTTTGAGAGCTTCTGTTGTAATAGATAGCTGCTTCTGCTGAAATGCGAAAGGTGAATTGGATTGGAGTCAATTTTTCCTTGTGAACAGCTGATGTCTTAGTTTTATTCCAAATCAATTCCTATGTAACTGTTTATCTGATCTCTTTAGTGTATCAACACATTGAAAATTGTTCAGTTTTCTCCATCTCCACTGTTTTGTTCAACAGAACTATATTCCTTTGGGGCCTAATCTAAAGCCATCTGAAATTAATTGAGTCTTTCCAGTGACTTCAGTGTGGCTTTCAATAGATTTTTTTATTGTTTTTACTGCTTTAATCCTTCTTATAGTAAAATGTATAGTTATATACAAGAGGATACTCAAGTTCTGTAGACTAATCAAAGATGGTATTTTCTAATTGCCTTGCAACTGAATTAAATAGGGAAACCAAGATTTTATAAATCATTTAAGCTACTTCCTAAAGGCTTGTGTATTCTGTGTAGTTATATTAAGGAATTCATGGTTTAATTAAACTACTCTTAGGGTAACGAAAGATGCAGTTGTCCAAAGGCATTATAGACGTTGTTTAAACAAAAGCTCCAGACTAGATGATTAAACTCCAGGAACCCAACATCCTTCGGACTTAGATACTAACTCCGAGATATGTTGCCAACGGTTAGAAAAGATGGGATGTACTCCACCATGTAACATTGGGATTGCATCCTTCAAATGGTGAATTTTTGCTGTGGAACTCTTCTGCTCCATCCTACTCCATCTTGTGTGCCTCTCCTTTCCTCAATACAGATCTTTATACTGAAGAAGAGGTTGCAAAAGAAAACAACTTCTCTACTCCTGTTTTTCGGTCAGCAAAGACCATGGTGCAAAGGCATTCTTCATTGCCTGCTTTTGTTTGAGCTGTCTACTGTGAGCCTTAGAGACATGAAAAATTCTGCACCAAATTTACATGGAATTTTAATTTCAGTGATGAAAATTAGATAGATGTTATCAAAGTGTTCCACAAATAGTGCCATGGAAGTATCTTTTTTGAATAGAAAATAGTGCTCGTGTATTAACTGTAAAGCAGATGAAACAGGAACAAAACCAACTGAAATGCATCAACTATGTAATCTTTTGGCAATGTATGTTCCCTGTATTTGGGTTCCCTGTGCATTTCCACAGCAGCCACAAGATCATTAAAATGCAGTTACTGTGTAGTTGTCTTCCACATTGGGATTCATTCAGTGTGCTGTTCTCTAGCACTGCATTGCTCAAGTAGATTTCTACAAAATGTAATGTGGAGTTTCTTCTGGGTGACACACTGAGAATGTCTTTGGCACGACCCCTACACTATTGTTGCTGACTTTAGTAGTTGCTTGCCTCTTTTGAGGTGTTTAGCACATCATAACTTTTAGAATGAAACTGGAGTAGCTCTTTGGAATTAAGTGCTCAGATCTTTCAGGGTCTTTCAGAAAGCATCCCTCAGAAAAAGTAATGTGAGGAAATGGCAGGCGTGGTATTGCTTAATTGGTTTTGAATCATTTCCTAGAAGAACTATGTTTGTGACACTTTTTCACATCTGCTTTGTGTGGTGGTTCTGATTGCAGGGAAAGGAGCTGTTCATGACAGAAGAAGAAAGGCAGAGAGAAGCACGTCTTCGAGAGCAGGAACGCCAGGAGTTAATGCATCAGAAGCGACTTGCACTGGAGACTAACAAAATCATCAAAGAGCAGCAAGAGAAAGAGAGATTGTAAGGACTCTTATGTAGGACAGCCTGAAAAATTTAGCTTGGAATTTGGAAAGAGCATGGAAGACAGGAACAACTGTGAGAGGATTCCCAACTTAGATTAACTTAGTTTTGCTGTTGTGGAGTCTGCTCATAAATCCTTATTCTGTGGTGCTCTTGATGATCTGGGTTTTCAGAGTTGCTATCATTCAAACATGTCTTGAGTAGGAAGGTCACTTCATTCCCCAACTGTCATAACCCTATAGTTTAATGTGATATTAGTTATTTTCCCCTCGTCCTTTATTTTTAGCAGAACAGTTACAAATCTTATACTCTTACAATAGCACACTGTGGGACTGGTCAAGAGGAGACAGTGACTTACAGAGTTAGATGATAAGTCCCTATTATCCAGATGGTCACGGTTGTCCTCAGGATTTCTACGGAAGTTTATTGAACCTTTGGTATCTTAAAGATGACTTTTTAAAAGGAGTGTGTTTCCCCAATGCATATGTATTTAGTGTCTATATCTTTTACTAACTATATGCTGACACATTTTGTGCAAGTTCTTACTCAGAAAATATTATTTTTATCACTGTGTCCTAATTCCTGTTATTATAGAAGAAAACTGGAGATTTCCCAAAAGGCTGCAGAGGAAGAAGAGAGATATCGCAGAGAAATAGAGCAGTAAGTAAAAACCTACACAGGCAGTATGTTGCTGAAAAAGGATCCTTATATATTAAATTTTGCTGAAAACATCCTGCATATTCTTTTCTAATAAAATCGTGTGTATTTCCATTTAGCTAAATGTAGGGTCCAATGCATATAAGTAAGTACACAACAGTTGCGGAACAGGAAACTGATCTGAAAATCAGCACCTGGAAAACATGAGGGTTATGGTGGTAATAAATTCAATGTGAAATCAAAGTCCAGTGCTTATTTTAAGCATAAGTTATAAATGTATAGAGAAATCAAGAGTAAGGAAGTTCTGTGTCTCAGAACTTGTTTACTTTGTTGTCACTGAACCACTACATTAAATTTTAACAGAAAAAAAGAATACTGGAGGGAAATGGATCAGGGAAGAAACAGAGAAGAAAGACTAAAGAGCTGGAAAACACGTATAAACTCAGGGACTTGATGATGTATCCACTTAGCTTAGTAGAAATTTCAGTCATCATAAATTTTAAGCAGGCTTTTGCTTTTCTAAGGAGAGAATTAATTACATTGAAACTGTGGCACTGAAAGCAAGAAGTTCTATAACCTATTTTATTCAGGGAATCTGATTTTTAATTTTCACAGTCTATCCCAGTTTTAAAAATACATCTTTCCAGAACTAGACACATTCAAAGATTGTATCATTGTAAAGTCAGTACTATAAGTGTAATTTAAGCAATTGTTTTACATTTGGAACTTTAAAATTAACCAGTATAATATGTTGTTGTTATCACAGTAATTAATTTCCCTGCTAAATGACATTGAGAAATTGCATGACAGTGTGAAATTCCACAGTATCTATTTTGATGCAGCCTTTTAGAACTAAGATTGACCCTGAAATATTCAGCTTTGCACCTTTGACATCTTAAACAGTTTTTAATCCATGTTTGTTCACTTAAGTCTCTTTTCACATGCCTGTATTAGCTAAAATGCTCTGATGGTAAAAGTGCAGGGATTTCTGAACCTGTGAGGTGCAAAAAGGAATATATTCCTCGGCTGTCACGTGAAAAATCTTCTACCAGTCCTACTGTGGGCTCTGCTACAGCACCTGAGTGAATTCTTACAGATTTTCCATTTCAATTCCTGGAAAATAGGTAACACCTTTTTCTTCATTGTGGTCTGCTGTAAAAATTCCTGCAATAGCCCTGAAAAACTGCTATAAAAGCAGACCATCCCAGGTGAAGAATGATTCCGTTCTCCAAATCCAGAATGCCTGTCTGTTACAATGAATGTTCCATATCTGCAGTATCCTTCTGAATTAAGTGCTTCTTTACTCGCCCAGCAAGTACTTTCACGATTAGGCTGCCGTGAGGGCTGCTCCTTGTGAGGTCTAGGGTGTCTTTATACTTCCTTGTGCAATTTCCAAGTGCTGCTCAGGCTCTTGGTAAGCTTCTCCATATTGCAGTCCAGAGTGTTAAGTCAGTGTCCATCTCCTTGGTTGTCGAAAAGTGAGGATGGTAGTACAGGAACTTAGATTTGACCTGAAGCTTAGCCTGCAATAAGCAATTGCAGGCAGGCAGCTTCACTAGAATATAACACTCCTGTATTAACAGTTTGTGAAGATGACTGCACACTTTTAAAATCTTTTCTACAGGAATTGCTTGTATGAAATCACTGTGCCCTTTATTACTGTCCTGCATATATTTTAGGAAAAAATTTTATATGTGCCTAAATGGCAGAGGTCCTTAACTCTGTGTATTTCAAGCCACATTGTAACCCCCCCCTTTTTTTTTTTATTAAAATGAAATGTTAAAACAAATCTAAACATTCTGTCCAATGTTCCCTGATATTGACAATGCCTCCCAATTTAAGTACTGACCTCTGCTGCAGATTTGATAGTGCTTTGACCACATGTGGATGTTTTTAAAATTTACCTTAGCTAACTTAGAGATGCAAAAGATAATCCAAGTATAAATAGCATCATATATATTTAAGGCCTAGTGAGTTTTGGCATCATATATCAGTTTACCAGTTCAACACAAGCTACATCCAAGAATAGATCTTGGATCACTTAAAGGCACTGTATATGAAGCTACAAGCTATTAGGTTATACAGCAGTTCTCTTGTGACCTACTTGGGATTTGCTGAATTCTCCTTCAAAATGTCGGTGTTTTTGATCATGGTGCCATTCTAGGTGCCTTCTAGGTAATTTACTTGTTTTATGAGCTCCTTTGTCCTGAAGTGACAATTACTCTTTTTTTTTTTCTTCTTCTTTTTCATTTTTCCTAGAATGTAGAATTTAATGCAATTTGTGTCTCAACAGTATTTAGTTCCAAGCCACTTCTTAGTGTAGCCTAGGAACGTTAAGGAAGCAATCATCAAAATGGAAGTAATATATAGAAATAAGACACACAGTTTTTAGGTATAGTCTACCATTGAAACATATGATTTAGCCTTGTGGTAGACAGTTTATCACTTAGTATTTTAGTTAAAATGGCTATTTTTCTAATAGATACTTCCCAGTTCTAAAAATGAAACATTATTAGGTGACAGATGTTTTGGCTTCAGTTAAGGTGACAGCCAATATTGTGGTGGGTTTAATGTCTGTGCAGGTGTTTATATTACTGGCCTTTGTCTCAATATTAAATAAAAATATTTTACTCGCTGGCCTTTGATGTCTCAATATTAAATAAAAATATTTTACTCAAATTATGTTTTACAAATTATCTTAGTAGCTTAGTAAATGAGAATGATTAAAAGAATTTTGTCTGAGGGAGAGGGCAGTTTACTATGCTTTATATTAAAGAGGAAAAAACCAAAAATAGCGAACACTAAACTGTAATGAATTTATATTGATGCTGTTGGTTTTATACTCAAAATTCTTAGCTGCATTTTTTTTCCTATAGGATAACAGCAGAGGAGGAGAAATTTAAAAAGGAGTGGGAAGAAGATTGGGGTCCTAAGGAACCTCCCAAATCTCTAAAAACTGTAACTGCAGAAGTGCACTCTGCCCCTCGTTCTAAACACAAGAGTAAGTAATTGACTTCAGTCTGCTTCCTAGGGAAAGTATTTGTTTCAGACACATCGCTGAGTTGTATGGAATACATCACCAGTTTGTGTCCTAGTCAAGTTAGCTATGGCTTGGTTATTGTCAGAAGTCTGGAACCGTATGATAGGTTAATTTAATAGCTCTTACTTAACAGGTACCTAGCTTGCAAAATCTGCATCCTATCAAACACTCATCGTTTTTAAAAAGTAGCAGCAGTAGCAGGAAAAATTTAAAAAAAGTAAAAAAAAAAAAATCTTGCTAAGAATTTTTCTGAAGTCAGTCTCTTTAGCTTGGGGTTTTAGTGGATTGCTTTCCACGTTGTTTCTGTTCAGAGTTTTGCTTGTCAGCCTTTCCAAGGAGCAGTTCTTGCATAAGTAGGCTTGTGCTGATTTCCACTGTCAAGGTAGTGTGGCGTTATTCACGTGATCGGTGACTATGTTTTCAAGTCCATGTGGATAAGCTTTATTTAAATGCTAAGTTATATTATATGAGTGCTTTCATCTCAGTGAAGAAAATATTACTTATAGTAATAAGTAGTGGTTTAAGTTTTATGGGCATTTTTTTACTTTTGAAAATGAAAGTATAAAGAAGAGGAGACAAGTATTTGTTTTTCTTCTTTCATTTGGAATTAGCTTTGGGATTTCTGTATTAATCGTATCAGCAAAGAGTTTAACATCACTTTTATATTTGAGAAGAGGTCTTGGGAGGTGGAGTGTTTGAAGGTAGAAAACTAGTACTAGATTTGCAGGTGCATTTGGAGTGCATGAATGCACTTTGTGGTATTCCAATTGTTACTTCTTTTCTTCTCCCTTATTCTAAATCAGTATATTATGGAGGCTGGAGATTAGGGGTTTGAGTATTTTTGTCTGCTTGCTTCTGACTAGACAAGATAGACATGGAATCCCTGCTTTTGGCTTGGAGGAAATGAATTCAATGTTTAGTTTTCAGAAAATTATAAAGATCTTTTCCTTCATCTCTTCAGTAGGACCTCAGTCTTCTATTACTTTGGCAGTCTTTGGGGGCTGTAAGAATGTCTTCAAGCTCTCTTGCTTCTCTTCCATGAGGAGGAGTAAACAACTTAATTGAGTAAACAATATATTGAATGTGATTAAAAAAAAATGCAACAGAAGCCATTGTTGCAAAGCAACAGTGAGACACTAGACAAAAAAGAGAAAAAGGAAAGATTCTGAAGAATCAGTGACTTTAAATAAAGTGATTTTCCTAGATTTTTTAACAAGTCTGTTTCTTGCCAGCATGCCTTTCACATCTAAATTATTCCTTATCAGGCTAAAGTTTTTACCACATCATTTTTCTGCATATCACGTTCTTCAGTTCATACTTTTTTGACAATTATCTTGAAAATGAAATGATGATGACATTATGATGTTTACAATGGCTGCAAAAATAATCTTGCATGCTAGAGCTTGGGTAGCAAAGCATGTAAGCATGTACTAGTTAAAAGCATGCAGTCAGAACCTCTGACTCAATTCCTGGTGACCTAATTGTGAAAAATCTAGGTATGTTTCTAAGAATTTGCAAAATTCAGGCATCTGTCTGTGAAGTGCTGTATATAGTAGCAGATCTGTTATTATCTTAAATAGACCATCTGTCAGAGTGAAAAAATAAATCCTATTTTTTCAATGTGGATTACCTGTAGACTTTGAAACACCTTTTCCTTACCTTTTGTTTCTTCTGTTCGCCTCCTACTATCAGTTTCCTTACTGAATCTACTTCTTTTTCCTCCCCGTTCTCCTTTTTCCTGTCTTTTTCCTCCTTTCATCTGTTGCAGCAAATCTTTCATGAGCAGGCTATAGTCTTCACAGCCTGAAAATTGATTTGATATCACTGGACAGTCTGCTTCAGAATTAGTTGAGAGACTGAGGGGGTATTGTTTGTGCACTGCAACTTTTCCATGAAGAACTGCCCTGAAGTGTAAGTTTGACTTAATTGTCCCAAGGAATTTAGGATGCTTCAAGCTTAATTTAAAGTTAAGAAGCTAAGTTGGGAGCTATACATAGTGTATGGAGAGTGTGCTAAAAATGGTATTAGACAAAGGAAAAAGTGGAAAGTGTTTGTGGAGTGGATATTGGATAATTTAAGGGAGACCTGTGTCAGTTCCTAAGCTTGATGACATTATTTTTTGTGTGACTTTGGGGAAGTCATTTAACTTTTCATGGCTGAGAAAATGAGATGAGGAAATGTTTCTTCTGCAACCATCTTTTATCCATATAGTTTTCTGATTTTCAGGGCAGTGTTTTCTCTGTATAGCACTTAGCCCAGTGACAGTGCAGTAGAAGGCTGATATTTCTTTTTGAAGCCAGGTATCCTAGAACTGCTGATGGTTTAATTACAGGAAAAGCTACCTACCTCTGCAAGCTTCCCCTCATAGCAGAGCAGACTAGGTGATCATATGCAGATCCTAACTGCTCTTCAGGTTTAAAGGAGGTTGGAAACTGACTTGATTTAAGCAGGACCTCAGTTTTTTTCAGTTATGTAGAAAAATATCTTGTTGCTAACTTCTTTTTATTTCATGGAAGTTTCCAGTCACACATTGTTGATCTCTTTTTTCATTTCATGGGAACATCTAGTTAAACTGTCATTTCTATCCCCTCATTCCTTTCCTCCTTTGTTTCTCTAGTAGATTTAGAGAGAGTTGCACATGACCAACTTGACACAGATGACATGGATGAAGGGATCACGAAGCAGGAGAAACAGGTTTGCTGTTCAGCCTTAACTTCCTATCCTGATTCAGATTCTTCCTGTGTTTCCCTTCCTCCTGACAGTCAGTCTTGACAATGAACTGATCATTTGGTTTTGCTAGGGCAGTATGTCTGGTCCTTTGGTAAACGATTAAAGGTTATGACACTGTTGCTGCTATTGCTTTCTAAAGATACCTTAATACTAATGCAAAATCTATCAGTCCTACGGAAAGGTGGGTTGTATTGAGAGTTCTGTGCGTTATCAGTGTTTCTTTTATAAAATTATGATAATGGATTCTTTTGTATGTTTTTACTTACCAATGTGTTTTTTAATATTTATTTTTTAATATTTATGCACTTGGATTGAAATATTTTATCCTAGGAAACTGAGCTTTTCTTGTCTCCTCAAATGCCACTGTGTTCTGCCACAAGCTTGAATGAGTTTCAATACCTGTTTAATTTTAAAAAGGTTTGTTGAAACTAGTGTAAAGTAGGACTGTGACCACAGAAATCTTAGCAATGCATATGGCTAAATGGTTCTGTATGAAGATTAATCATTGCATTTGCTTTGTGTAACATAAAATGTGTATCAGTAAAACAGGGGCAACTTGTGACTAAATGTACTGGCACAATTGATCAAGAAGTTGTCTAAGAAACTTGTCATCTAATATAGGACCTTTAATGTTGCGCCTTCAAATAAATTTTAATCAGTTACATGTATCAGCATGGATTAATTTGAATCTGAACCGGTCCTTGACTTTTCTTCAAAAAACAACTTTTCCTTTACGTTTTTGTAGCTTTTGGATGGTTTTATCGGTATGAAGGAAAATTTCCCACCATCCGCAAGGTACAAAGTTTGATATGTGAATTTTTTTGCTGTGTACTTCAATTTTAATTCCTCTTTTTTCCTTCTTCTCTGTTATTACTAGACATTCTTTAGAGTCAAATGCTGCTTCTTTTAATGTGTGCACAAATTAAGATGTGTTTGGAATGCATCTGCCTAGGAGTTTGTCCTTTTGAATACTGTGGACTTTTCAAGTCCTGCAGCTGCAGTGGGAAGGGTATGTCAGTACTTTGCAGCACAGGTGGGCAGCGTATGTCTTTATTCCCCAAAAGTCCTCAGAATAATGTATTAAAAGCAAAAAAAAAGTACAGAGACAAAAATTCAATGGGAGCCAGTTATAGCTTTGCAAATCACTCAGTAAGAGGAGTGCTGAAGGCAAAAGGCTTTCAGGCAGGTACATCACACAGAATGAGTACAAACAATTGAAAAATCTTTTAAGCTTGATAGACTATTTTATATGTAGATTTGCTGGTAAAGTATTACAGTTTCAAATTTAGAGTTTCAAATAATACCTTATTCCTGCTGGTGCTTTATTCTCTCTTTTTCTTTAATGTATATTAGCCATATTGTGGGCTTTTGTGGTTGTGTTGTCTGTTTTGGGTTTGGTTTGGTTTGTTTTGCGATGGCTGGTAGTAATTAACCGGGGTAGAAGTGTCAAGGAGACTTCAGAGTTCATCTCGTGAGAACTCAAGGTTTCTGAGGAGGTCAGGGTCCTATATGATGGGTGAAGTATTTGTGTCACCATTTAGGACTATTACTTTAACCATCTGTGTGGACAGGAAATGACCATTCTCTTTATTAGAGAATAGGAAATTACAATACACTCCAATACTATTTTGTACTGCTAGCAACTGTAAAACATCATGCATCTGTAACTTCTGTGAAAGCCAGTGCAGGTAGGATTTCTATCTGAAAAGTATAAATACATGTTATGAAAACTCAGTCTCTTCACACAAATGGGTCATCTTCTGTATTGTTGACGACAAAGATAGTTTAGAGGGTCTCCAAATACCTTTTCATATGGTAATGAAGATCTTACCCAGTTCCTGTTGAGCTCTACTACACAGTGTAGACTTGAAAATATGTATTTTTAATCTTTTCCTTTTAGAAATATTTTTAAATCTGAAAGTGATGAATTTTCATCCTACTCCAAATTGCTAGATGCTTTTTTGTTTTGTTTTAAAACGAAAATTTCACTCTGTACTAAAAATGTCTTTAATAGGAAGTAAACTGAATCCATGGGGAAAATGGATGGAAAGGATGACTCATCCTGTTGTATCTGAATGCAGTGAATGCAGCTAAAATGGTCTGATACATGTTCATATTCTGGAACACTTTGGCATGTGTACTGCTTAATGTGCCTTAAATTCAGTAATTTTTCAAGCGTTGATACCTAGCAGGTTGACCTGCCAGATGTTACGTTTAACAGAGAGTACTAAATGCATCTTCTAATTTATTAAAGGATAATATCAGCTAAGATAATAATCAACTAATTAGCCTTGAATAAAACATGCCAACAGAATTATGTTTATGTTAAAACATTAATGTGAAAAGCTAGATTTTTTTTACTTACACTCTTTTTTATTTTTGTTTCTGACAATCATTGATATTTTTTTTTTTTTCATCACTACCACCATTTAATGATGAAGCAGTATCCCACCGAACTTAGAAGTACAAAGTTCCAATTAACTACTTGACTGGGAGAATTGACTTTCGTATATCCCAGGGAAAATGTCTGTTCTCCAAGGCTTTATTACCAATATTCTATGTAAAAGGTGGAAAGAAGACAAATAGTGCTGTGCAAGGCAGAGCATGTTCATGATTTGAATTCCCCAAGCCACATGAAAAGTCAGTAGCTGATGATAATGAGCAGAGCAAAATCAAACCTAAAGCGTAGCCTTTCTGGGCACAGGCAGTAGTTGACAATATGTGGTCAGCTGCTCCTTCTTCTTACTTTTTCATAAATAAAAGGAGAACATGGGCTTTGCAGCAGAAATGTGGCATCATTAAAGTAGAAACTAGGAGCATGGGGCATTTTGAAGACAACAGGAACAGAGTCTCCAAAAAGATTATGTATTTTTCCCCTTTGGTTGCACTCTACATCTAAAATTTTAGAGTTACTTTGTGCTGTATTAGTTTGCTCACGTGACTAGATTTTATCCAGTGCTTGTAGGAGTTACTTGGTCTTCACGATGCAGTGTTCTTCCCTGGGAGCAATTTGGTCTCTGCACTGATCTAAGCTTTTTCTTAGTAATTGCTTATATCAGTTGTATTAAGAAATGCAATGCTGATTTTAGGTCATATGCATGAAGATGTTTTATGCATAGAATATTCACATCTACCTATACATGAGCATCTGTCACCTGAAAGCAGTCAGTCTTGTATTTATATAAAAATGCCAGAACAGAGAGATGACAAATCAAGACCTAACCAGAATTGTTTGACTATTCCAAGTTTTGCAGTGGCTCTGTGTGCCCTAAGGTTGTAACTTTGCAGAGGAGCAAAAAAGTTGAACTGACGTTAATGTGCACAGGCCCTCCACAAATAAGGTTGAATTTCCTGCAGGTTGCTGGGGAATGGACTTTAGATTTTCTTTTAAAAGACCATCCCCATACTTGCACATACTGTAATTAGATTTTCAAGGCAGACACTCATGTAACGAGTTTGAAGTTTGCAATCTTTTTAGCTGATGTAAAAATATGTTTAACTGAAAAAAAAAAAAAAACCAAAAACCAAACCCACCAAAACTTCCCAGAAAGGGAAAGAGCGAAAGAAGTCAAAAAGTGACAGTCTGTGTGAACAGAAGAAGAATAAAAAGGAAATGGAGTTTGAGCAAAAACTTGCCAAAGAGAAAGAAGGAATGTTGGAGAAAGAAAAACAACTGAAGATAAATCGTCTTGTGCAAGAGGTATGTTGTGTTCTCAATGTGCAAAATTACATTGAAAGAAAATGAGCTGAATCTTCAGTGAAATTATCTTAGCAGGACACTTGTTTAATAATGTCAAAGATAATGAAGTTTAAAAAAAATTGCTGTTTCACTGCAACTCTGTTCCCATGTTTGCTTGTTTCTACAATCATTTTTTGCCCAAATGAGGATACCTCTGCAGTTAATGAGTGTCCATGTGTAGTGACGAATTTAATGAGAGACAGCAAAGTAGGAAATAATTCTGAAAAACATTATTAGTTTTAAAACTAATTTAAATGGCATTTCATACTTCTAGAACACATTTGTATTGTAACTATACCTATAACTTTTTCTCATGCACTGGTGCTATGGTTAAGGTATCTGAGACAGAACGAGAAGACCTGGAAGAATCAGAAAAGGTGCAGCACTGGGTGGAAAGGCTTTGTCAGACACGGTTAGAGCAGATTTCCTCTGTGGAGAATGAGTCTCCTGAGGTAAAATTCTGGCTTCTCCATGCTTCTCCATATATTGCATGATCTCTAAATAACTCACTAGTTGTCTCCTAAAAGCAACAGCTTTTTACGAGAGAGAAAAAAAAAATCTGTCTTGATGTTTCCCTCTCAGCCTTCAATCTGAGAGAGGGGGGGAAATGTCAGTAATTGATGAATTACAATCTATAGCGTTTCCTGCTCCTATATTTTGTGGAGCCTTTTTTATTATTTTAATGAACTGGTTTTATTGTGTCCTTTTTAAGTCTATTATCACCACAAAATTTACAGTTCTATTGGCTGGTGAACTGTTTGGGCTAGGTGGGACATGCTACCAACAATAAAACTGAAACTAGAAGACCCAGCCATATTTTTTAGTATCCTACAAAAATGAGAACATAGTTGATGATAAGCTCTCAGATGCTTCCTTGTATTGCATGGAATAAAGGTATGTGTTAAGAAAATGGCCAAAAGATAAGAAACTCCCGAAGAATAGGGTTTGGTTTTGTGTTTTGAATAGTCTCCTTAAATGAAGGGAGTTGCAGATAGCAATTGGACCTTAGAGACTCTTGGTTTTAGATGTGGAGTGAGGCTTTCCCACCATCCTGCTGCTCTGGCTCTCTTCCAAGCAGAACTGCTTTCAAGAGGAACACTGCAATCTGTTTAACTCCCCCAGGATCCCAGAGAAATTGCAACCACAAAGGGGGCCCTTGGGGAACACTCTCACATGAATTTCCTTCAGGTCAATGTGGAGCAGCTCTGAAAAAAGCAGCTGGTCT